CATACGGGGATGGGGGCAGCTCGCGCTCAACTTCATCAACGTGGCGAGCCTTGCACGTGAGAGGCACAGTGGAGGTGGAGTTCAAAGAAGAATGAGAAATTTAATGGTTTCAATCTGCCCTTGTTCTTTCTTTTTGTTTTTTATTTTTGCATGTTATCACTGTGCCCGTTTTTTGCTTTTATTCTTTGTTCCGCAAAGTGCGCTCTTTTAGTTTGTAGTGATGTGACAATATATATATGACGATATTGAATTTTTTTTTATGGTTTTGAAAACGGAGAGAGATGGATTCGAACCCTCGGTAGTTTGTAGTGTCGGTGAAACTCCGACGAAACAGTTTGTCACAGCCCCTCGTTTGTTGTCCTCTTCTCTCTCTCTGCCTACGGTTTACCGGGCAGTTCTGTTTGTGACGATATATATATATCCTAGGCTACCAGCCGGGCCGCCCGGGTCCCGGGTGGCCAGCCCGTGCAAGGAGGTCCCAGCAAAAAAACAAAACAAAAAAAAACAAATCCAAAAAATCCGAAAAAAAACTATGTTATGCAGAAAAATAAACTGAACAACTTTTGCCTCAGGGTCACGTCGAAATTCTTCACCAAAGTTAAAATAAAAATTAAAAATTAAAAATAATTTTTTTATTTTTATTTTTTTGGCCCGGCCGGGCAAGTGACCCCGGGCCACTCTGGTAGCCTAGTATATATCTTTTTTTTTTTTTTTTTACGTAGCTTACCCTTTTTCCAGATACCCTCACCTACACCCATTCTTTTCATGCACTAGTAAAGAAAAACCCAATTGACTTGACTTGACTTGACGTCGTCGTACACCTTTTCAAAATCGAAGAACAGGATCGCTGCTTGCACTTGTCTCTTGGTGATCTTCTTGGCAGCGTCATTGAAGGACATAGACCATGCAGGCTTTATACTGGGCAGGTACATCTTGGGACGTCGCTCGACTAGACAACACTCTGCATGCACTTAGACTACCCCAGTGGACCAGGTGCATTGGGATGAATTCAACATTTTGAATGTATCCGGTCCAGAGAGCGTCCAAATGCATGTAGTAGAGTGTTGTGTAGTGAAGCCAGGCCCTTTGGTCATATGCTTTTTCAAAATTGAAGAAAGAATAGGATCGCTGCTTGCACGGGTCTCGTGCTGATCTTCTTGGCAGCGTCATTGAAATGACTCAATGTTGTCTAAGGGCCTCGCTCCACTACACAATAGTCTACTTGCATTTGGACGACTCTGTGGACCGGATACATTCAAAATGTTGAATTTGTCTCAATGCACCTGATCCACCTACCTTCTTCCCCCGACGTACGGTCATTATAGCTGTATTTAGACTGAAAGATGCCTCAAATCTCAAATACAGCTCTATGACCGTACGTTGTATTCAGGGGAAGAAGTTAGTAGAAGAGGGTAGTCGTCCAAGTGCATGTAGAGTGTTGTGTAGTAGAAAGCATGCATAGTCTATATGGAAGCACTCGTCTGCCAGATTCAGGACTCCGTTCGCCAGCATTTTTGCTAGAATCTTGTAACGGACAAGCCAGACAACCGTCTTCACCCGGATAGAACGCCCGGTAATTATCGCCGTCTCTGGGCTGAAAGTTGGGCCAAATACAGCTATAATGACTGGGCGCTTGTTTCGGGTGAAGACGGTAGTTTTCAGGAAAGAAGGGTGTTCTGATGAAACTATTGTCAAAAAGAAAAAGGGCCTGAGCGAGTCGAGTCCCAATGGGACTGAGGCAGTCGAGTCCCAATAGGACTTAGGCAGGAAATGATACGGCAGCAGGCGCTGAGGGGACAGTAGTGTACACGGTTCCAAAACAGGAATTACCAAAGGTAGTCACTGCCGGTGTTTCGTGGTGCTTGGCTGCCATACTAACGAAGGGGACCGTAGCGTCTGTATCGTGTAGCTATTATAAGGGACGCTGGACCCAGTTTGCAGATTTTTTTTTTTTTTTTTCCCTTTTTGGGTTTTCAACTTTTCATACTTATATAAGTTATATTTATTATTTATAAAAAAAAGTTCTATTTTTTTTATTTTGTTTTTTAAGAACAACAGACAAGAAGATTGGTCTGTAATTGTTTAGGTCCTCACTTTCCCCCTTTTTTGTGTAGAAAGAGATAAACTTCTACTCAGGATGTTTCCCAATCTCCTTTACGCTCCAGCTGTCATTGAAAAGAACTCGTCAAGTCGGCTCCTCGGATGGTCGAGAAGTGGGACCCAGCTTCCTTCAGCATTCCTTCAATACCCATCCCTTTATCGTTTCCGATTCCTTACGGGGGCCTCTTCACTCTTTTGTAAGTTCTTTTAGCCCTCCAGTAACCCCTCTAAACCCCTCTAAACCCCACCCATACCCCATTCCCTATCACCAAGTTGGAAGATAAGGATGGATTCAGACTGCTGAGGGGACAAGTGCAGACTTTGCTGAAAAAGGAAATTCCTTCCCCCCGATCCCACACAAGTTGACCTCATTTTGGACTCACCCACCCAGTTTACGCAGACGCAACCTGGCTGGCCTTCATGGCTGTACTGGTAAGAAGACTTGGCTCTTGTGGCTGAGGATGCCGGTTTAATTCCGTGCGTGCATGGGTGGGCCTAAGGCCAGAAAGTACGGATTTATGACTACGGCCTTCTTCGTATGTGCCTCTGCCCAAGTAGCCTAGCTTTTGAGGCTTTTTTTTTTTTCCCCCTAGCTCTTAAGGCCATTGACATGGAGATGATCGTGTTTCGAAATGAAAAAAATGAAAGATGGCTCAGATATAGAGGCTTGAAAATTGAAACGAATTCGGAATATATCCACAAGTATCTGTTTATTGCGCTCGGTTTTGTTATGAGTGATGATTCTGTAGTCCGATGCTGAACGGGGGTTGTTGACTTCGCTTTGAACCATGCTCGCCAGATGCCTGTGATGGATGGGTATTCAGCAACTAGAGCTATACGGGCGATGGAGCAAGGTGATCCAGACAAGACGCATCATTTGCCCATCATTGCGTTAACGGCGCACACTATGGCCCAAGACAAACTCAAGTGCCTCGAAGCAGGCATGGATGCGTATCTCATGAAGCCCATGAAGCTGGCCCAGCTGGTCGACGTCATCAAAAACTTCTGCCCTCATCACATTGCCGAGCCATCGTGATATCACAGTTGTACGTTCTTCGAGTTCCATCGTAGGAATTGTAACTACGGACCGCCGGCAGTTTGGTACGCTGTACCGTGCCAAGATCTGTTCCGGGGCCATTCTTCGACAACAACTGTGGAATTGGTGCTGGTCTACCTGGGTGACATCA